TTTACAACAGATTCAATGTTAGCATTTATATCTGCTTCTAATGTTTCTAAGTCATCACCATCAAATAGTAAGGTACTGTCGTCTGCAAACATGGTCATTGGATATGTTGATGATGCTGGAAAGTCATTTATGTAAATAATAAACAGAGTCGGGCCAAGGACACTACCTTGTGGTACGCCGTAAGTAACAGTTCTCTGACCAGACCTATAAGTTACCTCGCTATCTTTGGTGATTCTACTGATAACTGTCATTTGCCGTCTGTTATGTAGGTAGGATTCAATTAGACTCAGTACGTTTCCTCTAATTCCATATGCATTTAGTTTACTTAGGAGTATTTTATGATCAACGCGATCGAAAGCCTTTGTCATGTCCATGTAAAGTGCTACAGCTGGTAATTTCTTATCTACTTGACTGCTAACTTTATCTAGAAAGTCGTATATGGCCATATCAATGGACTTGTTCTTCCTGAAGCCTTTTTGGTTGTCAACTAGTAAATTATTTTTTTCAAAATATGAAGTAATTTGATTATTAATTACTTTTTCGTAAATCTTAGAAAATATTGGTACCAGAGCAATAGGTCTGTAACAGGACATATTTTCTCTGTCGTCTTTCTTAAAAAGCGGTTTTATTATAGTAATTTTTAATTCACTGGGAAAAGTCCCACACTCTATGCTCAAATTAATAAGATAACTCAATATTGGTGCAATAATGATGGATACGTGTTTTATAATTTTAGTAGATATATCATCGTACCCAGTGCTAGCTGTGTTTTTGAGCGACATTACAATACGATGGATGTCAACCGGTGAAGTAGGGGACATGAACATCGAAGTGTTTTTATTATTATTAATCGTCATTTTATAAGTGTCAATATTGATATGGTCAGTTAATTTTACTTGATCTACAAAGAAGTCATTAAAAGCTTGTGCTATTGCGTCAGGATTAGTTAATAGTTTTTGATTACAGTCGATTTTCATTATATATTCATTTGGTATAGTGGTTTTGTTCCTACTGATGACTTTCCATGTGGCTTTCCCTAGATTCTGAGCTGTGCTGATAAATTTATTATTGTGTGCCCTCTGCGTAAGATTTATTACTTTTTTAAAACGGTTCGAGTGATTTTTTAAATTCAGTTTATTTTGTTCATTAGGCAATCTACGGTACTTCCATAATAATTGTCTTTTCCGTTTGCTACAAATCCTAATACCGCGGCTTATCCATTTTGATTTTATTTTAGTACACATTTTAATTCTGATAATCGGAAAACATAAATTATAAAGCAATGCAAACCACTCATAGAACAGCTTGAATGCCTCATTAGAGTCCGGTTCCTGATACACATCGGAAAAAGTAATGCTCTTAAGATAGTTTTTAAATTTATCCATGTTTTCCATAGAGTAGTCTCGTCTTGTGGTAAACCAGTGATCTAAACTGCATGTTTTTTTTAACTGGGCACCGCAGAACTTGAGCTGTATGATCAGATACTGCTAGTTCTAAGACTTTACCCCTGGCTCCCCGCACATTATGGATTATATTATCTATGCATGTACCACTACTCAATCTAGTTGGTATGTTTATATCGAACTTAAGATTGAAGCCTGTAATTAGATACTTAAATTGTGTACAATTGTAAGTGTTTTTTAGTAGGTCGATATTGAAATCACCGCACAGTACCACCTTTCTATTTATATGAAATGAAACTGAACTTAAAAGATTATTTAGATTATTAAAAAATAGTTCAAGGTTTCTCTTTGAATTGTTGCTATGCGGGCTTCTGTATACACATATTACTATTATGTTATGATCTGTAAGTTCGACTGAGCAACACTCAATTACATTTGGGACACTGTATCTTTCCATTGACTCCAAAACTCGATACTTAATTCCGTGTCGTATCATTATACAAGTACCACCATGTCTAGATTTTCGAGTGAAAAAGGTTACAAGATTAAAGTTAGGAATAAACAGCAGATTTACATCATCCAAAATCATATTATGCTCGGAGAAACACAGTACATCAATAGTTTCACACCAAATCACACAACTCATCCAATGCAACAGTAAACATAGCAGATTTATTTAAAAGCCCGTTTATATTTTGGTGCATTATGGTCACATTGTTATACACGAAAGTTATGGTTTTGAGGAGAGTTATTTTTATTTTTGAAACGTCCTATGACAGGTTCAGAATGAGCTACTGACATCTCAGTTATAGTTAGCAATACATTTTGTAAAACGTTACGCATTCCATTATTATTTATTGTTCTTTCTACTTTTGAAAACATTGTGTAATCGTATTCTAAACTCAGATTAGTATCAAAACCAAATGCATAGTCAAACGTTTGTAAATCCAAGTGTAACAAATTATTAAAAGTTTCTATACGCCAGTTATACATCGAAGAATAATTACTCAATTTAAAAGTGGGTACACATATAATAATATTTGTATGCTGTACTGTAAGTAGTGCCTCTCTCAGTTTGACAATTATGTCCACATAATTTTTTGTTCGTTTAAAATCCTCTTCTCCGATCAAAATAATGCAGTAATCTTCAAAATTATAATCTATCAGTTTTTTATTAATATCCCTAACAAGATGCACAGTATCACAGTTAGGCGAGACATAATGACAGATTTGATAGTTATGGAATGTTTCCTGAGCCAGAGACAGTACCTTATTAGTTTTGTTTGTGCTAATGATGCATAACTTCTTTGTGGTGTCAAACACGACATCACGGTCACCTTTGTTCTCGTGCGGACCCGTGTATCGCGAGCTAGTGCTCAAATTACTTGCGCTGGTTTGTATTGATTCCATCCGCAAGTTTTCTTTAATTTGTCCTCTTTTTGGTTTGTTTTGTTGACTGCTGCGAGGTGTTGATGTTTGTGAGCCTTTTCTGGGTGTGTGTGCTTCACTTGATAGTTTTTTAGTGGCTTTCTTTATAACCTCGTTTATAGTCGTCAATTCGCCCAATGACTTCCTAAGTTCAGTATTTTCGATGTTTAGATTTTTTATTTCTTCATGTGCCGAATTGAGTTGTGATGTTAACTGTTCTATTTGACTTTGAAGTCCTTGTACATATTCGTTACTTTCATCCTTTGATATGTTTGGTAAGCTACTTGTGCTGCCATCTATTGTCGAACTATTGAGACTATTTTCTTTCGACTCATCATTCAAAGAACGCGTTCTTGTTTTTCGAAACGTTATATTTTCAAAGAAGTTCATTTTTGAAGAAATAAGTAATTTACGATGTAATAAATAGCACAAAAAGAAATCCTGTTAGTGGGAATCGAGCCCGCAACTTCACTATCTTAGTACTCTGAGGTGAACGTAATAACCATTACGCCACTCGTACATTATCTGATGTGGTGAAATTAATCTTGTATTTATTTATTATGAACAAACATGTCAGAGATACCTTCAATAGGTTGTTTTGAAGGTAATTTAAAAATAATTAAAATATTCTATAATTAATGGTGTTTGTTTACAATAATATTGAAGTTAGTCACAGGGGTGGTCGTCAAGACGTTTGTACACATATTATTTGTCCACAGTTACTTTCTTTTGGTTCTTGAACACTGCGTGATTGGTTTAGCTTTTAAAGTGGAGAACAGATATTTACGTTTCGCGACAACAGTACATATCTCTAAGACGCTTATAGATATTCACTTGTCAATAATGTCACTTGTTTATCATCACTAATAGTTCTTATATTATCGAGTTAAGCACTTAAACTGAAGTATTTAAATTTAATTTAATAATAATATACGGAGCTTAATGTTGATAGTACGGTGCGAGTACCCTCGGTTTGCAATCGCAATCGCTATATTAAGCAATCGTTTGTTTACGTTCAGGTATTTTACTTTTATTATCAGATGAATCTTTATTAAAATTAGTGCACTGAGTTCGATAATGCCCCGTTTGTTTACACCGGTAGCAGGTTATTTTCCGCCTTGGTTTTGACAGTTGTCTATTATCTGAATCTTTGGTTCCAGTAGCGCCAACCTTACTGTTGCGAAAACTCGCAAACGCTCCGTTATTTCCGCTAACGTCGCCCCTGTCTTCCTCCAAGTCCATTAACTTGGTTTTAATGGCGTCTGCTGTTATCTTCATTCCAGAATGTTCAATGGCCATAATCATTGGCGCGTATTTTTCAGATAGCCCAGCCAAAAGCAACGATCCGACCCACTCATCGTTAATGTTAAATCCTGTTCCACTTAACTCGTCGAGTACCGGTTTTATAGACACAATTAAAGAACAATAGGTCGCGGTCACCGGTGACCGCTTGGTGTTTGACAGTTTAATTTCTGACTAGTTTCAATCACATGCGTGACATATGAGGTCATGGAAGCAGAATTTTCCAGACGAATCGAGATCAATGTTCGTAACAAGCTGATTCGCCTTGTGAATCCAGAATCATCAAATAATTGCTTGAGTTTGTCCCACAACTCCTTTGTACTTTTCACTTCTTTTATATGTACATACAACGACGAATCTATTGTTAGGATCAATTTTGCCTTGGTTTTCGCGTCAGCTTCGGCTTCTGTTGGTTTAGTTTCTATGATACAATTAGAAGTTCCTTCCAACACCAAAAAATTCTCCGCCGCGAAAGCCCACTCTGCATAATTCTCACGACCTTTTAACTTAGGTACACTAACAACATAGTTCGTACTCATTTTCACCAGCACAGCTTATTCTCAGTCTGCTAAAACTTATACAGCACTAATCGGCAAGTTTTCTGCGAGAATATAACGAATTACTGGGCCCATAACCTATAATAAAACAACGGAGTTGAGATCCGGAAACAGAACTAAAAACAATATATTCTTTTTATAATAATCATAGACAATACAGGAATGCACTTATATTCTATTATGACCACAGATATTCAATACAAATGATTATGTTGAGATCCAATTTAACACTTTTTATCCTTTTGTGGCGCGAGCGAAGCCGCGGGTAAAAGCTAGTAAATAATATTTTACGGAACCCGTTTGATTTCAGGCTGAAGATCCCAGTCAAGAAGTGAGAATTGAACAAAGTCAATCGGACAGAACAAAGAAACCATTTCATCCTGTGCCGTAAGTGATCTCATTCTATAGGATGTTAAAATCACTCTTCTTTTTCTGCCCAGAAGAACTTTTTTTGCCTGTACCTTTTTCCATGTGTCTGTGTATCTACTTAATTTAAAATTAAACATATTTAAATAATGTTTGCTTAAAATGACTGCCTCGTTGGCCGAGTGGTCGTAAGTGCGACTGCCGGGCAAGGGGTCTCGGGTTCGATTCCCGGTTCGGGCAAAGTATTACTGGGTTTTTAAATATTCTCAGTAGTAGCACGGAGTCTGGAATTGTGCCCGGTATATGGCAATAGGCTCACCCCCTATTACATGGAACTCGTAACATAAATAGTGAAAAGTGGGTGTTACATTGTACAGTGGTATAATGTGCACCTCTGCCTTCCCCTTCGGGGATAAAAGGCGTGATGTTATGTTATGTGTGTTATGTTTATATTTAAATATCTGACCAAACACATTATACCTATTATGCAATTTCTATGTACACACGGCTACACATCGAGCTTTACATAACCAGTATAAACTGAACGTTAAATGTGCGGAAAGATGATGCGACGCGACACCAGGATAAACTGGTTTTGTATAGATTGATGTGTGGCTGTGTGTACGTATTTTTACAAAAATATACCCCTATGTCCAAAATTCCAGGGTCGAAATACGTCGTGAAGGCGCAAAAGTGACTGTCGGTCGACTACATTTCGCCGAAACCACGAATAATAATATGAGAAAAAAAGGTAGACCCAACCCTGATCAGCGCCACTTCCAGCTGGTGGTAGCCCTGCGAGCTCATGTGGGTCATAGTGACTTCATCATCGCTGCATCAGCCAGCGACCGGATAATTGTCAGGGTAAGTTTGTTTTCACCACCGCTACTCTTGTCATGGGTGTCGTATACCCGACTAGCGACTATTTAATTGATAGTGATTGGACAGCAGCACCACACCTTACCTTATCATGGGTGTCGTATACCCGACTAGAAGACTAAAACTAAGTATTTGGAGTGCATCCCTCTGATGAGTCGTATGCGTTTTCAATTGTAATATCTAACCTGTTTATCAATGGCGAAAATTTTGGCAGATCACAAATGGGTAGGAAGAAGGTAGACCCCAATCTTTACTAGCAACCTTCTAAGTCTGTGGGTATTGTACACCCAATACGTTAGGATAATTTCAATACTTTCTTTTTAAGGGGGGGGGAATTTTTCTTTGGGACAAGCCCGCCACAACCTCCCAAAACCGCTGCAACTCTTGTAAACCAGGATCTACAGTAGATACAACCATGAAAACACCGGAACACTAAAGTCCGGCGCGTCTCAGGGACATGAGTAACTGTCTTGGTTCCCGCAACGAAGTGAATCAGAAGATATTATAAGAGGAGAAGAAGAAAAAACTATGGTTTCCACTTCCCTCGGTAAATCACTGCAGGAGACAGAATGAATTAAGCTTAAAGGCACAAAGAAGAGACTGTACAACTGGGTGAAGCATAGTCGCTAAGCACCACGTACCAGCTCACCAATATGTGTGAACTGGTTTAAGGGGGCAAATCATCCAATGACTTCTCCCGCCCGGGTGAGGCGTAAGGGAGTGTCAGACTCTTACTAACTAAAAACCACCCCGTTTCTACTCCTGCACTTCGAGCCGGAGCCCCGGCAACCAGTTAGGCCTTCCGCAGCACCGTAAAGTAACACTAAAAATACTCAACCTTCTTTTCGCCCGCCAGGCGTCAAACCCGGGGCAGTTCGAGTCGGACTGCACAGAGAGCTGGTGGCAGCGAGGAGTGTCGGACAACAGCGTGCACTTTACCGGTAGAGTCGGTATTAATACTGACAGACCGGACGAATCCTGTGTTGTTAATGGTAAGTTCACATCGTCATCAAAATCAAATTACAATATGTATCTACACTCGTTCTACTTGTCAAGAGTCATACAAAGCAAGACATATAAAACGAAAAAACGTAAACATAATATCATGCCTTTTATCCCCAAAGAGGTAGGCAGTGGTACACATTACGGTACTTAATGCCACTGTACAATATAACACCCACTTTACACTTTTTTTTAAGTGGGTAAAATCATCGAATGCCTGCTCCCGCCTGGGTGAGGCGGGGAGGGAGTGTCAGACTACTTACTGACTAAAAACCACCCCGTTCCTCCTCCTGCACGTCGAGGCGGAGCCCCGGTTACCCGTTAGGTTCTCCGCGACACCCACTTTACACTATTTATGTTATGAGTCCCATATAATAGGGAGCCTATTGCCATAGACCGAGCACAATTCCAAACTCCATGCTACTACTGAGATTTTTTTAAACCCAGTAATACTTTGCTTTAATCTGGAATCCCCCTTCGCCCGTCGCACTTGCAATCACTCGACCACCGACCCTCTTATAATGACAATACATTATTATTATATTCTTCAGGTAACCTCAAAGTGATGGGACATATACTCCACCCATCAGATGCGCGCGCCAAACACAACATACAGGAGTTGGACACAGCACAACAATTGAAAAACGTACAGAATATTCGAGTTGTCAAGTAAGTTAATAATAATTGTTTTAATATCGAAATGGGATAAGTCGAGCTATTTCAGTGTATATATCATTATATCTAAATATTGTTTTATTATACGACAAAATAAAAAAATAAAAGGCCTTATATTTTTTCATTACCTAACTTACGGACTAATTAGATTTTTAATTTTCATACCCTGTCATCATCCCTATTAGAATACTGTACTTGTACCAACAAACGAATGAACAAAGTATCCTAGCACATAGATCGTCTTCTACTATTTAACGAATATATCATAACTCGCATTAACTATATCCCATCATCATCTATCATTATCAAGAGCCTATAAATGCCCACTGCTGAGCAAAGCCTCTTCTCACACGAAGAAAGTTTGAGCATTAATCACCACTCTTGCTCAATGCGGGTTGGCGATTGCAAACTCGCTTATAATTTCTGATTATAAATCATTGATAAATGATTATAAATCAGAAATTATAAGCCCAGGTTTCTTCACGATATTTTCTTTAAGACTTTACCCAACTTAAAAACCATATAACCCACAGGAAAATAAACTAAAATCCCCTTCACCCAGGTTCAACTACGACCCCTCATTCGCGGAACATTCCGGCCTACTAGGCTATGACCCCAGTCGGCCGACACCGCAGTTGGACACCGGGGTCATTGCGCAGGAGGTCCGCCGCGTCATACCTGAGGCGGTGAAAGAAGCCGGTGACGTCACACTTCCTAATGGAGACACTATACCTAAATTTTTGGTGGTTAATAAGGTAAGACAATTATTGTGTTATGAATTTTTGACATTTTGATCTCTGAAGAGGTGGGTGAAGGTGTATATTACAATGTAACACCGTCTTTCCGTGTTTTGTTATAAGTCTCATGTAGTAAAGGGTGAGCCTAATACTCAGATACTGGGCATGACTACCTCTCATAACCTTTTTGCAGTTTACAACCTACCACATACGTTTCTGCACTACCCAAAGGATGACTGGCACAGAATGCTGTTAGCATTGAGTTGTATGAAACTTAGATAAATAAATAAATACAGATTGACTTATGACTACTGAATTTTGTTTCGAAAAACCGATAAACTCCTTATACAGTGAAACCTGGTTAAGTGAGACATCAAGGGACCTGCAATGTCGTTTCACTTATAGAGGTATTCCACTTACCCAGTGTCTCAGATATACAGGTATAAATAAATATCTGTCTCATTTACAGAGGGTTTCATTAATAGAGGTGGACTTGGAATTACGTGTGTTTGTGGGTAGAATAAGAATGAGTAAACAAACAATGTTATCTCAGTTATAGAGGTTTATGCATATAAAATTTACTCGCTGTCTCAGTTACAGAGGTAACTATGATGATAAATCGAAAGAACAAATCCCAGATATAGAGGTCTACCTCGTCCCACTAACCGAGGTAATTCAGTGCCAAACTGTGCCATTTGCAAAGGACATTTTGCCATAGTCTCCTCGCTTGGCAAGCTGGTTGAAGATCAAATTGAATTATACCCCATTATACAACCCTATATTTTTTTTCTAAGTTTGAATATCTAGACCCCTCTAGACCCAATACCAAATCATTTTCTAAACCTAACCCTTTTTACCCAGGATCGAATCTTTATGGAGAACTTAGGCGCTGTAAAAGAGCTATGCAAGGTGACTGGTAACCTGGAATCCAGGATCGACCAGCTGGAGAGGATCAACAAGAAACTCTGCAAGATCAGCATACTACAGCGGAGGGATAGCTCCAGGTCCAGTATTAGTAATGGTGAGTATTTTAGGATAGTTTTTTTTTAAATATAAGCAAAGTGATCTACATTTAACAGTTGTCAATCAATCAATCAATCAAATCATTTATTTGCATAATACAGGTATAAAAGATGTTACATATGGATATATAGTGCACTGTATCATTACCTAAATAGATGTGCAAATATTTATACAGTCTTTAGGCAATCAATTTTTCTAATTACATTATATGCTTACAATAATATTACAAAATTATAGAAATGTCAAAGGATTAAAACGTACAGAATGTCAAGTGAGTTATAATTGTTCATGTCATGGTCAATAAATTAAATCATATAACAATGGTAGATTAATAATAACATAAAAATTATATAAATTAATAATAACATAAAAATTATATAAATTAATAATAACATAAAATTTGGTACATAAAATGTACTACTGTATGTCACACTACTTGTTGGCAAAATAAACTAGTAGTCTTTGTCATATTAAAGTTGTAATAATGTTCTAACCAAGTTCAATTGAGTCTAGCTAGCATGGTAGCATGGAAAGAACTTGTGTAACAAGTGCTGTAGCATCTTCTATAGGCTAATACCTATAAATAATAGAGGACTCGTTGATATTATGCATGCGTATGAGATAAATGTGGGAGAGCCATGCTTCGGCACGAATGGGCCGGCTCGACCGGAGTGACATGGCCGAGCAGGAAACCGACGTGAAACAACGCTTGCGTTTTGTTTTGTCGCGTGAGTGAGGTTACCAGAGGCTCAATTACATTTTTTTTTTTCGCGATATGCTATTAAGTTAATCTCAATAGTGTAGATGCCTAATTTTTATTTTAATGTCCGTCTGGTAGATTATTTTAAAACATTACACACATATTTTTTATTTTCTTACAGAAACGAATACTTTCGACGATAATTATATTGATTTGTAATGTCGCGTGACGTCACTTCTATGTACAATTTATACGTAGAAATGACGTTTTACTCCCTACTCCTAAACTTTAATTCGTTTAATCTAAGTGTTGTTTTATTATACGACAAAATAAAAAATACGTGTCTATGTTTTTTCATTACCTAACTTACGGACTAATTAGATTTTTAATTTTCATACCCTGACATCATCCCAATTTGATATATTCTTTCTTGGCATGATCCCTCTCCTATTACTGACTGTCCCATATCATCATTAAAGTGACTATAATGTCTCCTGCATAGTTAATAAGCTTAATCAAAATCAAAGTTAAAAGTCATAGTCAAAATAATTTTCAATAATTAGACCAAGATGGTACTTTTATACATCAAACAAGAAATTTAAAAGTTCTCTCTGTTTGACGGTCCTTTAGTGAAGCTATCTAATATTAATATTCTCTTTCAGATTCCCGCTACTCGGCAATATCAAATTCATCAAAATCCCTATACAGTGACGGCAACATATCCATAGACCAAATCCGAGATATAGCCCGCAATATACGAAAACACGAGTGTTGCCACAAATTAAGCCATAATTCCCCCAAATACACTCGCAAACAGTGCAAAAACTGCCACGTGAACTACTCGAAATACGGCAAATATTACAATTATAACAAAACTTGTGTCCGATATCATTCTAACAAGCTCGAAAAAGCCGAAAATGTCGAAAATCCGACATACACGGACTCGAATATCCAGAAATATCCGGATGACAGCTACGAAAGTACGATGACTAAGAAGAAGGACACTTGTCTATGGTTGAAGAGTGATGATAATTTTTCGTATAGCAACACTAAGCTCGGGTTTTGTTGCCGGAAAGAGTATGGGGATACCAGCAGTGAATTGATATCGAATAAGTTTCTGCAAATCGTTATTACTATATTGATTTTTATTATGGCTGTTTGGTAAGTACTCTTGAATTATTCTTGAATTAATTTCTTTTTTTAAACTTTGCCCCACGCTAGGTTTTTCTCCTGTGTCGTGGGTGCGTTTACAAACATACAATATCACATACACATGACACTCAGACCCGGAACAACAATCTGTGGATCACACAAAGAGTTGTTCCGTGCGGGAATCGAACCCGCGACAAGTTGCGCGGCAGCCAGTTGCCCGGCCACCGCGCCAACAGTGCAGTCAATGAAATTGGATTAAATATTTTATACCACATACCTTGGGGCTTACTCTTGATTCCATTCCCGATCGATCGACATTGGTATTGTGAAATTTCGTACTCTCGAGTTGCAACACTAGCGCCCATTGCAGCCGTATTGCGTGGATATTGATTGAACTAAACGGTATTGAGTTTAGCTTTATGTTCCGTACTCTGAATGCTATTTTATTAGCCACGATAGGAGTTATATAGTTTTGACATTGAATCATTATTGAGATTCTATTGGATTGAAATTGCATTGACATTGAGATTGGTTTCAAGAGTAAGCACCCTTGTTGATTTAGTGGTTGTTTGTGTGATTATGAAGCAAAAGACCGTGGCTTTGATTTATGGACTAGACTAAGTGTCACTGGGGAACATAGATGTACCTTAAGTCCCTTTGGAGTCTCATGTGTCAACAGTTATCGGTAACACTACTGGACTCCAAACAGAGATAATTTTCGTAATACTGAGATTTTTTCGAACAACTACCAATTTACCCAACTCGGAAATCGAACCCGAGACCCATAGGCGACGATTACTTGGCTAACAAGGCTGTCTTAATTCGTAGCAAAACCTTCAAGAGGGTTGTTTTTTACCGAAGTAAAGTTGACCTATTGTAGCTACTAATAGGGGTTAAATTGAAAGTCCGTAATTAGTGCTTGAACTGCTGGTTTATAATTATATTCTTTTTGGTGCGAACTTAAATCTCGTTGTACATACAAAAAATGACCATCTTAAGCAAGTCGATGTAACGAAACCATAGCTTGCATTTAATCACGGCAACGCCATCTAGTTATAAAAATTGAACTAAATTAATGAATATGCATTTTATGGTTTCGTTGCTTTGGTCTTGAGTTTTGGTCATCAACAAGGGTAATGTCACACATACAAATCAAAAACCCATGATTAACTTCAAGACTTTACCCATGACACCCAATACCACTCACTATAATAAGAAAACTAATAAAATAAAAATTCTATTCCAGCCTCGTAGTGATGTCAGCACTCTACTTCCGAGAACATCAAGAACTAATATCAATGAAAGAAATCCGCCTTCACGACAAGCTCCACTACCCCCCGTACGGCAAGCCGAACAATGAACCACACAGTCACAGAGCACCGCCAGACTTCAACCAGATACAGGTCAGTTACAGGCCAGAGATCCTTACTATAATATGTATAATACTAGCTTTTACCCGCGGCTTCGCTCGCGTCACAAAAGGATAAAAAGTAGCCTATATGACATATACCAATACATACAGCGCCATCTATACCAATACTTTTGTTTTCCCTCGGGAATATCAAATTTTTTCGGGATAAAAAGTACCCTATTATTTAATCCAGACTACTAACTTTACGTTTGCAAAAGTTCAAAGCAATCGGTTTAGTAGTTACGGCGTGAAGTCGAAACAAACAAACAAACTCACTTTCCGATTTATAATATAAGTAAGGAAGTAAGGATTATAAATCGGAAAGTGAGTTTGTTTGTTCCGCTTTCACGCCGTAACTACTTAACCGATTGCTTCGAATTTTTGCAGAAGTAAAGTTAGAAGTCCGGATTAACTCGTCGAGTACCGGTTTTATAGACACAATTAAAGAACAATAGGTCGCGGTCACCGGTGACCGCTTGGTGTTTGACAGTTTAAATAATAGGGTTCTTTCTATCCCGGAAAAAAATTATATTCCCGAGGGAAAACGAAACTATTGGTATAGATGGCGCTGTGTGTATTGGTATATGTCACATAGGCTACTTTTTATCCTTTTGTGACGCGAGCGAAGCCGCGGGTAAAAGCTAGTAGGCAATAACTTTGGGCAATACTCTAGTGTAGTGCTAGATATAAGGTCGCTACACAAGTTTAAGTGTGAGAGAGCCATGCTTCGGCACGAATGGGCCGGCTCAACCGGATTGATACCACGGCCGAGCAGAAGACCGACGTAAAACAACGCTGTGTTGTGTTTCGTAGTGTGAGTGAGGCTACCGGATGCCCAATTACCCTCCCCCCTTACCCCAATCCCTGAATCCCCAACAATCCTCAAATTCCTAATTCCAAAAGGCCGGTAACGCACTGGTAACGCCTCTGGTGCTCCGAGGATCCATGGGCGACGTCGATTGCTTACCATCAGGTGATCAGTCTGCTCGTATACCGGTTTATCCCATAAATAAAAGCCACTTTTGGTGGTAGCCCGGAGGTTTAAGACGCCCGCTTTTCATGCATGAGGGTTCGAAACCTACCAACGTCAAGTACCAATGTGACTTTTTCAGAGTTATATGTACTTTCTAAGATTATCTTGACATCACTGACAAACGGTGAAGGTAAACATCGTGAGGAAACCAAACTTATAATTTCTAATTATAAGTTTGTAATCGCCAACCCTCATTGAGCAAGCGTGGTGATTAATGCTCAAGCCTTCTCCGTGTGAGAAGAGGCTTTGCTCAGCAGTGGGCATTTATAGGCTGTTGATGATGATGATGATGCTAGCAGTACAATAGTTAACGTTAAAACATGGCGCACTGGTCTTACCATTTAGCTACTACAACTAGTCCTAACGTCGACAAACAGATGGCATTAATTGTCCAGTCACTAGTTCAAGTTTATACCAAGAGATGGCGTTACTATTCATGTCAGTAATTCATGCTTATACCGATAGATGGATGGTTCAAATCCTACATCGCACTATCAATGCCAAAACGTTATTAATAACAATGTTCTATTGTTTCAGAATTCAAAAGCATCACAACATACAGCTTCTAAAAAAACTGCTAAAGGTATGTTTATAATATTACCTCATTTGTATAGTGATTACAAGGTGAACTAGCGAATGTATTGTCACTAGAACATTGTCCAATCAAAAGGTTGTTCAATTTTGTTACCCTTATTTTTGTTCAAACTGTTAATTTGGTTTTTATAAATCAACTAACTTAACAAAATGGAAAGCTTTCAATTAAGCAAAACCCTCAAATCGGTTCATTCATTCAGAAGCTAGCTTTCAGTGTTTCATTGTTTTTATGGTTGTACCCACTGTTAATCCTGGCTTGCGGGAGTTGCAGCTGTTTTAGGCAGGTTATGGCGAGTTTGTCCCAAAAACTATGTTCTTACGATACTCACTAAAAGATTACAAATGTATTTTAGAAAGAAAGAAAGATAAAAAGTTTATTTGTACCATTACAGAAAAAGCAATAGAAAAATAGTAAAAAAAAAAACAACAGTTTACACTGTACACGGTGCAAAATGGCCAGTACTCAGCTAAAATACTGTGGCACGAGCGCGATTGCTCGAGTCTGTTGCCAAAATCGCAAAAAAATAATAGAATATACAAGGTGTAGTTTTAAAACCGTGGCATTTCTCGGGGGCATGTCACAGAAGTCATAAAGGTTCAATGTAAGAAAAATTTAGGGCCAATAGTTAAAATACGGCTATAATAAATCGTTTAAGTTCGACAGTATTTCAGAATAAGTGACAGCAATGTTTCTAATTGGAGTTTTATGGAATTAGGAATAATATCAATTACGTGTTTGAGTTTGTGTGTGTTGAGCCGCGTAATAAAGCTAGTTACAAGACGGCGGCGTGTAGTTCGCACTGACGGATTTCCGTAATTTACAGAAAATCTATATACCTACAATTATTTTTATTGATTCGGACTCAGAATCGATAGCTGCGTTACCTCCTAGAAAATGACGCGACTTTAAAACAATACCTTGTATAATAATAATAAAACAGAATAGAAACATGTAATTTTCCTACCCTTTAGTCTGCCGCTACCGCACAGTTTGTATATAAACAAAACAACGAGTTACAATTTCCAACTAGGTGCAAGAGATAAATAGGTTTAACATTAATTTATGTGTTATTTTCACAGAGAAAGGACCGCACAAAACGACCCAGGAATACGTGACGACGGCCCCCACGGAGTCACCGCACACTGTATCCACATCTGCACATCCCACTAAGAATTATGACAGTAATCTTATAAGTAAGTATATTTATACAAACTGTAGTAAATTAACATAACGCTAATTTAACAATTGAATTAAAAATATTTTTACTATGGCAACATTGTCCGTTTGATAATTGATTGTGAGGGTGACTGCCGAGCAAGAGATCTCAAATTGAATTACCCGATCCGGTGGGATATTCCAAAAGATTTTGTTTCTTTTTCGGTTTTTCGAACTCAGTAATTATTGTCAAATCAACAACAAGACAATTATTGCTGAACTTAATTACCTATCGGCATCAACCAAATCGGAATTTTTCATAATTACATATATAAGCCCCCGTCATAGTTCGAAACCAATCGAACTACCTCCACTTGCGTCATCAAGCCGTAATTTATCAATTTTCAATCTCCACAGATACGGTACCAACTCTACAATCTCTACACCTGCAGAATGAGCGTCCGATAACATCGTCACGCAGGGTTGAAGTCATCGGCGGTGATTGTCTATTCACATCTAATACTAATAACGAACTGGATCCTGAGTGCCAGGTAAGAAACCAAAAAGTGAAAAATGTAATATGTATTTGAAAAATAACAGGTGAAATACAGGTGAATAGTTTTTTTAATATAAAACTCTTTTTTCAATAAAAATTTAAGTGAATAAATCAAATCGCGGGTTATTCACGTGAGTAACCCGCGATTTTTAGTTAATTTAGTATGTCTCACGATAGTTATTATAAAAAAAAGGTAAACTACATTTTATATGTAAAGAAAGAAAGAAAGAAAACCATTTATTTTTGCGCAGAACACACATAAACTTAACATCTACAAAAAATAAAATATAATAGAAAGCGAAGGTAAACATAAATAAAATAATATAAAAGTCAAAAACTTAAAATACCAGGGCTCAAATATAATGAAATCTTGTCTATGGTCCACAGACAGAGTGAATTGCTAATTATTACTATTATCTGTGGACACTTAATATGTGCACTTCTGCCCACTTCTATATCTATACGAATATAATGATGCATAATATATATATAATATGTTTTATTATATGTATAAAAGAAAGTCGTGTTAGTCGCACTATTTATAACTCACGAACGGCACAATCGATTTGACAGAGGAATGTGAGATGGATGAAAATTGGTGGGGAGGTAGCTTAGTACTTTTTTTTAAGGGGGGGAAATCATCGAATGACTGCTCCCGCCTAGGTGAGGTGGGAGGGAGTGTCAGACTCTTACTGACTAAAAACCACCCCGTTCCTTTTCCTGCACGTCGAACCGGAGCCCGTGTAACCCGTTAGGTTCTCCGCGACAGGTAGCTTAGTACTAGGAAATGGACATAGAATAGAATAGAATAGTAATCTTTATTTCAGGCTCAGAGCTCATAAATGGTTAGTAACAATTTACTTATACAACTAGTGTTAGTAACACAAATTTGATCATCAATTACAATTACTATTATTATACAATCACATAGGATGCATTTTATCGTGTTTTTTACTTTTTATCGAATATCACGAATGGAAACGGAAAAAAACGGGATTGCACCTTAGAAGAAGCGGGCAGAAGCCAGTTTTAACATATTTACGAAATCATTTAATGTTTTTTCTGAATCACCAAAATAAATCAAAGTAATTGGACATTAAGCCAAAAATTGGTAATCCTCTGGTTATATTAGCAAATAATAATTATCTGTCTTTGGAAATACAATATATGTTAAATATATTTCATTACTTTTATTATAATATTAAAATTATTTGCACGCTGCTGCAGAAGGATTTAATAAGATTGTCTTCTTGGATTCAATCTGTTTTGGTAAGACTGGTATTAACATTTTTACTATATGTTTATGTTAAAATATGATAAGTATTTCGAAAAAAAATGCCTCTTTGGCCGAATGGTCGCAAGTGCGACTGCCGGGCAAGGGGTCTCGAGTTTGATTCTTGGGTCGGGCAAAGTATTACTGGGTTTTTAAAAAAAATCTCAGTAGTAGCACGGAGTCTGGAAATGTGCCCGGTATATGGCAATAGACTCAACCCCTTTTACATGGGACTCATAAAATAAATAGGGAAAAGTGAGTGTTACATTGTACAGCGGCATTAAGTGCCGTAATAGAATCGAATAGAATATAACTTTATTGTACACCATTAATAATATAGTACATACAGAAAAAACAACATCCTATTGTAAACGCACCTAAGATATCGAAAGAAATCTTAATATTCCACGACAGTCACTTTCTTCTTTACACCTTTATAAAATAAATAACCATTCTCATTCCAGTCCCCATGCGGCCTCGAACCCCCACAAACCTACGACAACCAGGAACCATTAGAACGGAAACCTGAGAAGGAACTCAACGATACATTCGCGAGACCTTTGGAACCTTTAACAAGAGAAAAACTCCCAAGCATGCCTGGCATAATCCCAGAGAAGAATACCACAGAATCGTTAAAATCAGAGCCAGAATCATTGAGAAATGAAAACGACTCTTTCAAAAAGGTTGAGAATCTTCGAGAAGAGATTATAGCGAACTCTCTAGATGGTAGTAAGCCGAATGGTACAGAAATCGGGAGTAGAATGAAGAGGGAGGTACGTGGGAGGAGGGAAACAAGGGAGGAACTCAAGAACAGTTCTGAAGAGATGATTCTGAGCGAACAGTCGCATGAAAATTCTGGGTCTCGTGGTAAGTTAATTTGAAAATATATTTTATTAGATTAGACTGACTTTTTTTTTTAATTGTTATGTTTTTCGGCTTAGGCACTCATGTAAGGGTATAACGAGGACCTCGACTAGTTTCAAGCCATACTAGAGGCTCATATTTATTGAATCTTAATGGCATAGAGCTTGGCTCTCTCTCGCAGACAGATCACCGGATGGTAAGCAATCGGCGCCACCCATTGATCCTCGCAACACCAGTGGATTTACAAATGGCCTTTTGCGGGGATTGGGTCTTCAGATTTTGGTAAATGGCAATAAACTCACTCCCTGCGGGGCTCATAACATGAATAAGAAGTGGGTGTTACATTATTACAATGCACAACTCTGCCTACCCCTTCCGGGATAAAAGGCGTGATGTATGTATGTATGGGTCTTCGGTAACTTCATTTACAAGCCGTAACACAACGCTTCGATTGTTCCACATTGGATTTCTGCTCGGCTGTGGTATCTCTCCAGTCGTACCGGCCCATTCGTGCCGAAGCATGGCTCTCTATAGATTGTAAACCTTAACACTGACTGCCTCGTTGGCCGAGTGCTCGCAAGTGCGACTGCCGGGCCAGGAGTCTCGGGTTCGATTCCCGGGTCGGGCAAAGTATTACTGGGTTTTAAAAAAATCTCAGTAGTAGCACGGAGTCTGGAATTGTGCCCGGTATATGGCAATAGGCTTACCCCCTATTACATGGGACTCAAAACATAAATAGTGAAAAGTGCGTGTTACTTCTGTGTGCACCTCTGCCTACCCCTTCGGGGATAAAAGACGTGATGTTATGTTTCATATTATGTATGAAACCTTAACAATTTTGTAAAAACACATAAAATCTTTTTTTTCCAGAATGCGACGTAGTCCGCGTCGGTATATCAAGTAAATCAATAATAAACTCGTCACTATTTAGCGAGACTATCTGCGGCAATAATATATACAACTACTCATACACCATCCCGCTGTCACACTGTCTCAGTCACAAACATGTGGATCTGACGTTCAGGTAAATTATTTTATTAGTCTTTTATTTATCTAAATATATACAAGTGTTGTTTTAAAGCCGCGTCATTTTCTAGGAGGTAACTCGGCTATCGATTCTGAGTCCGAATCAATAAAAACAATTGTAGGTAAATATTTTTAATTTTTCTGTAAATTATAAGTGCGAACTACACGCCGCCGTCTTGTAACTAGCTTTATAACGCGGCTTAACATACATAAACTCAAACACGTAATTGATATTATTCTTAATTCCATAAAACTCCAATAAGAAACATTGCTATCGCTTATTCTGAAATATTGTCGAACTAAAACTATTTATTTTAGCCGTATTTTTAACTATTAGCCCGAAACTTTCACTTACATTGAACCTTTATGACTTCTGTGACATGCCCCCGAGAAATGAACTACACCTTGTATAACTCAAAGGTGACTGACTGACTGACATAGTGATCTATCAACGCACAGCCCAAACTGCTGGATGAATCAGGCTAAAATTCGGTATGCCTAAGAAATGTTATACCTACCTACCTAGCATCCGCTCAGAAAGGAATTTCAACATTTCCACCCCCATGGAGATAAAATAGGGGATGGAAGTTGACAAATAACAAGGTTAACAATCCTTACTAGTCCTTACTAATATTATAAATCGGAAAGTGAGTTTGTTTGTTTGTTTGTTTGTTTGTTCCGACTTTACGCCGTAACTACTAAACCGATTGCATTGAATTTTTGCAGACGTAAAGTTAGTAGTCTGGATTAAATAATAGGGTAATTTTTATCCTGAAAAAATTTTATATTCCCGAGGGAAAACAAAAGTATTGGTATAGATGGCGCTGTATATATTGGTATATGTGTCATAGGCTACTTTTTATCCTTTTGTGACGCGAGCGAAGCCGCGGGTAAAAGCTAGTAAACAATAAAGGTTAATAATAGGTTTATTAAACCTTATTCGTCAAGTTGACCAGTTCTTCGCCAACACCACATTTCGAGAGCATCTATCTTTTTGCGATCTAAGGCTCTAATAGTCTTCAAATTGTCATCGCCTTAAAACATTTCAATCCCGTTTTTATACTAGAAAAACGATTTAGAATAGATCAGTCTTTTCGAATCATCACAGCTTCATGTATGTTCTTGTTCATTGGACAGCTTCTTTCTGTCCACGAGCTTCTTTTTTTTATGGCGTAAACGAGCAGACGGATCACCTGATGGTAAGCAATCGGCGTCGCCTATGGACACCTGGAATACCAGAGGCGTTACAAGTGCGTCACCGGCTTTTTGGGGATTAGGAGTTTGAGGATCGTTGGGGATTCAGGGATTGGGGAGATTGGGGAAGGGGAGGGTAATTGGGCCTCCAGTAATCTCACTCACACGACGAAACACAACACAACGTTGTTTCACGTCGGTCTTCTGTGAGGCCGTGGTATCACTCCGGTCGAGCCGACGCATTCGCGCCGAAGCATGGCTCTCCTTTAATTTATTTTTTGCTTATATCTACCCCAATTTGCACAGGTCATCAAAAATCAAAGAATACCGTCTATGCGACGTGAAATGCAACTATGACTCTTCCAAATCCTGTTCATCTACGAAGGAGCCTCAGAAGCCACCAGCTTCTGAAGACACGTGGAGTATCAAGATGGCTCTGGAATGCAATGTGGACCGTATGCTGAAGATCAGAGCCAGTTTCACCACTTCTAGAATGCGGTTTCCAAATAAGGTAAGTCTTCAGAAGTTAGTTTTGTGAAGAATAGACTGTGAAATCTCTTTCATTTTCGTTTCGAAGTAAAATGGTTAGGTATGTCTTGGTATAATACATTAGTTTTGCAAATTGACGCACGGTTGACGCGGTGGCTGGACCACTGGCTGCCGCGCAATGGGTTCGATTCCCGCACGGAACAACTCTTTGTGTGATCCACAGATTGTTGTTCCGGGTCTGGGTGTCATGTGTATGTGATATTGTATGTTCGTAAACGCACCCACGGCACATGAGGAAATCCTGGTGTGGGGCATCGTTTAAAAAAACTGTTTAAAACAAAAAATAACTGGTGAACGACTACCCCACGTGATAAAGGAGTCAGCTCTTTTGTGTTAAAAATGATATCACATGTTTTTAAACCAATAAAACGCAACTTTTTTTGCCTCGTTGGTCGACTGGTCGCAAGTGCGACTGCCGGGCAAGAGGTCTCGGGTTCGATTCCCAGCTCGGGCAAAGTATTATTGGGTTTTTAAAAAGTTCTCAGTAGTAGCACGGAGTCTGGGATTGTGCCCGGTATATGGCAATAGGCTCACCCCCTATTACATTGGACTCATAACATAAATAGTGAAAAGTGAGTGTTACATTGTACAGTGGCATAATGTGCATCTCTGCCTACCCCTTCGGAGATAAAAAACGTGATATTAACTTATTGTTTTTCTATTTCAGGAACTATGCTACTTGACACCGGAACACAAGTATCCATTTATAGAATACAATATACGTATACACAGCGATTGTCATAATTAACGTCACTTTTATATTATTATAATATAATTAATACTATATTTATAATAAGACAGGTTTACATCATAAGTTATAAGTTAGACTTTATTGGTAAACCGTTTTACTACTCATTTTATTATTTTAATAATAAAGTTTTATTATTGCAATATAATAATGGTTTATTATTAATAAAAAATACGTTTTTAAATTGTATGTCACAACAAAAATAAAAATTACCAATAAAATCTAACAATAACTCTATTATTACACTATTAATAATATGTATTATTAAGTATTTTAGTACTATTAGTCTATAAAGAGTAAAATTAAATAAAATCACATTCCATAAGTGCAATTATGTAATTTTATCCGTCCTATTATAATAACAAAGGCCACTTTATAGTATGTAGACAGATACTAGGTTATATTTTTGAAAATAACCTTTTAAAAAAGACATGCTTGTTATCTTTATTTCGATACTAGCTACTTCCGCGCGGTTTCACACGCTCTGCTCAGCTCCTATTGGTCGTAGCGTGATGTTTTATAGCTTATAGGCATCCTCGATAAATGTGCTATCTAACTCAAAAAGAATTATTCAAATCAGACTTGTAGGTACGGAGATTAGCGCGTTCAAACAAACTATTCCGCTTTATATAATAGTATAAGAGTATAAGATTAGAGTGGCTAACTTCGCAAAAGATCGACAGACAGATTATTATATTTACCTGCGTTTCTTCAAATTGATGCTTTATTAGTAACTAGCGACCCGCTCCGGCTTCGCACGGGGGCAATATGCATGTATTATACAATGTAATACACATAAAAACCTTCCTTAAGAATCACTCTATCTATAAAAAAAACCGCTTCAAAATCCGTTGCGTAGTTTTAAAGATCTAAGCATACATAGGGACAGACAGTTGGCGTATAGCGACTTTGTTTTATACTATGTAGTGATGTATTTTTTATCAAGGCATTTAATTGAAGCAACCTCCTATTTATTATACGATTGATAACATATCAGGTGAAACAGGAATTGAATAGGGTAGGCGACTAATTTTTATTTTAATGTCCGTCTGGTAGATTATTTAAAAACATTAGACACGTATTTTTTATTTTCTTACGGAAACGAATAGTTTCGAAGATATATTGATTTGAAATGTCGCGTGACGTCACTTCTATGTACATTTTATACGTAGAAATGACGTTTTAGCCCCCACTCCCTAAACTTCGATTCGTTTAATCTAAGTATTGTTTTATTATACGACAAAATAAAAAAATACGTGTCTAATATTTTTTTATTACCTAACTTACGGACTAATTATATTTTTAATTTTCATACCCTGTCATCATCCCCATTATGTGAACTTTGTCTTTTCGGGGACTAAAATGTTAAATGTTGTGTTATATAATGACTTATCGATACTGCCGTTGTAAATGATAGACTTTTAAATGCTATTATGATTTTATTACGGTGCTTTTCCCTATCACAATATTACTTAAATGAGTACCATCACCAACAGACTATAAATGCCCACTGCTGAGCAAAAGCCTCTTCTCACACGGAGAAGGTTTGAGCATTAATCATCACGTTTGCTTGAACCAATGACGAAAGCAAATAATGACAGTTTAAAAAATAAATACGTTTTATGAAATTATTTATTACTACACACGCTCAGCTCAGCTCCTATTGGCCGTAGCGTGATGTTTTATAGCCTATAGCCATCCTCGATAAATGCGCTATCCAACACAAAAAGAATTATTCAAATCAGACTTGTAGTTACGGAGATTAGCGCGTTCAAACAAACAAACAAAAAACAAACTCTTCCGCTTTATATAATAGTATAAGATTTTATTTACAAAGGAATGACAATTTATGACGCAAAATTATTGTCAATGTTATTTTTTTATTATTACAAAAATCAACTGCCTATCCCTAAAGGGGATAAATTATAAATAAGTTACATTTTTTTAGAATTTAGCTTATAAAGGAATTGGTTTTTTATTATCATTATTATTTTTATACAATGTAAACTAGAAATGGTGGTAGCTGTTATTATTATTTTTAGTACATAATAGAATCCAGTTTTTGTAATAAAAAAAATTTTGATTATTATTAATTAGTATTTTTGCAGCTTTATTTTTAGAATTTTAGTTTTTATATTTTTGCTTTTTAATAGTTCGTAAGTTGTATCGTTTGAAATTATTTAAGTTTAATACTCATATAAAGAAATTATTTTTATTATTCTAAACTTTGGATGAGCCATATATTGTATTCGATAAAATTATTTCATTTTGTAAAAAATAGATATTTTGTAATTATTTTGAAAATTAATTACATAATAATTAAATCATTTTTTGTAATTACCTAAAAATTGCGGGTTACTCACGTGAATATACTGAGAAAAACTCTACTAGTTTCGAGTAGGCTGCGTGACATCGCCGCGACCGCACACGCTGCTCATGAGGAAGAACCCCTCTGTGGTTCGAAACTAGTAGAGCTTTTCTCAGTATATTCACGTGAGTAACCCGCGATTTTTAGTTAATCTAGTATGTCTCACGATAGTTATTGTATTTTTTTTATAATCATATCAATTATACGTAGGTATCTATACATTCCAAGCCAGTACTTAATTAGTGTATAAGATCTCTTAAGGAAACTATGAAAATTGTATAAATGTTCAAAATAACATCACATTTCAGTAAAAATAATACCAAAACAAAAGAATCTCAGTGTGTCACAGCTTTAAAATCATTTAATACAGTATCTCATTGTTAATTGGCGTTCCATAGTCTCTGCTTACCGCCATGGGAGACAGGCGTGAAGTTATGTATGTTATCTCAGTGTAATCATTACATATAAAAAAACTAAGGACTAAAATATTAATTGATATGTAAATTTCCTAGTGCTAAATAAAAACCTTCAGTGTTTCTAGAGGTATGTCTACGCCTATCTAAGGCAAATTGGCGATTTATAAGACCTTATAGAACCCTTAATAATATATCATACTAGCTACTTCCGCGCGGTTTCACACGCTCTGCTCAGCTCCTATTGGTCGGAGCGTGATGTTTTATAGCCTATAGCCATCCTCGATAAATGCGCTATCTGACACAAAAAGAATTATTCAAATCAGACTTGTAGACAGAGATTAGCGCGTTTACTTAAACAAACAAACAAAAAAACAAACTTTTCCGCTTTATATAATAGTATAAGATATAATTCAATACCTTTTCAAAGGTATATAATTATTAAACCCTATATAAGTAAATACATGTCATCACAAAGATAAACTACAGTAAAAAAAGAAAAATTTAAATTCAAAGCTCAAAATTAGTATTACTATGTGTATTGGTTTATTTCAGATATTTTTTGCGTGGTACAGAACAGTTTAATGTAGAAAATAGCTAAAAAATAAGCTTAAAATAATCTAGCCTAGTTTATTTTCTTGCCATATTACTAGTTAAAAAACATCACATTATATTTATGTATTCAAGAATATTTTATTGGCTTTATAAATCTCCAGTCACTATTAAAATTTAAAAACAATAATTTATTTCGCGGCGTAATTGTATTATTGAGTCCAATAATAAAATAAAATGACAATTATTAATATTATTATTTGTGTTAAATCGAATTTATCAAGACAATTTTACTATTAATTTTATATTATTACTTTGATTAAATAATGAATTTATTATATGTAAATTTTGACGTATTTTATTTGTTAATAAAAGGTAAAAGCCTTTTTATTTTAGCACTATTAGAATATTAATATAAGCGTAAATAGTTTTATTATTATAATTATATTGAAATATGCGAATTATTTTTTAAAAATCGCATGTCTTTAATGAATTAGAAAATCTCATTTTAAGTAGATTGATAAATTAAAGTACCTAGTAATTTTATTTAGGTTTAATGACAATTTTTACACATATTTAGTATAGGTAATAATTGCAGAAAAAATCACAATTATAAATTACATATAAGTTAAATTACATCCACATTATTATTAAAGTTAAATTACATTTCAATTAATTTTTTAATAACATTTCAATTAAAACAATATTTTATTAATTAATTTTTATCACATTTTCTGTATTATTAATACTAAATAAGTGTAAAAATAAGTCTATATGTCTAGCCTGTAACCTAGTATTTATATTAATTATGTAATGTAATATCATATCTTGTATCTAGATTATAGGGTCCTGTCTATACTGCAAGTCCCAAGCGTCGTAATTATGTAGTTACAATATAAAATAAGAATCCACAAATTTGTATTCATAAGATACAAGATTAAAATGTAGATGTTTATATTGGAAGTTTCATTTTTATAGTTTAATGCCTCCATAGATTAAGTGTTTTTTTTAAGAGGGGAGAATCATCGAATGACTGCTCCCGCCTGGGTGAGGCGGGAGGGAGTGTCAGACTCTTACTGACTAAAAACCACCCCGTTCCTTCTCCTGCACGTCGAGCCGGAGCCCCGGTAACCCGTTAGGTTCTCCGCGACTCCGAATCGGCATCGGCCCTGTTGGGCCCCATCTGTGGTGGTCTGATGGCTCTTTGAGGCGCGCGCGGAACGCGACGCGTTCTGTTTCTGGTCGGACGGGGAGCCACCCATGCTCGCCGTCCTCCGGCCCGCGCTTACGGTGGCCGGAGATCGTCCCGCGATCCCCGACGCCCGGTGTGTCCTTCGCGATGGCTGGGTTGCGAGGAGGCAGCGCTTCGCTGCCTCACGCGTCCCGCCTCCTCCTTAGCTAGCATGACTGCTTCGCAAAAGGAGGAGACGGCATCCCATTCCCCCTCGCTCCGCATCGCCGAACACGTAGATTTAGTGTTAAATGTGACTGTTCACTCAGGTTCAAGACCTGGTGGAGTAAGTTTTATTTAGTAGGTATCAGCACTGTTTGTAATTGTAGACTGCCTCGGTGACCGAGTGGTCGCAGGTTTTACTGCTGGGCAAGGGGTCTCGGGTTCGATTCCCGGATCGGACAAAATATTACTGGGTTTTAAAAAAAAATCTCAG